TTAGAGAGGCCTGAAAGGCCTATGAAGCGGTATATAAGTCCACTGCTATATTCTCTGTCTTCTTCTGTCCTCTTCTCGGATAAGTACAGAAGGCATTTCCTCTTCCTCCTCACTGACTGGCTGCAGCTTCATACTTTCCCGGACCCTCAGTCAAATCCTTCACAGACAGCTGCTCAGAGCCATCAGTCAACTCTGCTCCTGACATGCCAGGAACTGGCAGGTCAGGAGCATAGAGAGTTATCTGGGGAAGCATCCAGGGGGAGTCAACACAGGACCCTCGCTAGTTTCTTGGGCTATAAAGTGAACGGGAAGGGAGAAACAATACTTTCACACTTGCAGGATTCTGTTACTGTTAACATACGTTAAAGCAGTATTAACTCATCTCGCCATGCTTTCTGTCTGGTCTCTCTCACAAGACTGATACCTATTCTGCTTTTGGAGAGGATGAAAACTGAGATGACCACACAGAGGGAATGATCAAATAAATCTTGTTATCAAAGCTTCATTTCAACCAACAAAAGGGAATAGCGAACACCTTCCAGTCAGTCATTTAAATGACATGCTGACTCGGGATGTGTCTCAAACAAGATTAGATTTCATATGACTCAGTATTCCTGTTCATATGACACACATTATGATCCAGTTAGTTAAGCAAGTCAGCTGAATATGGCTGTTGTGTTTCTGTGTGTCTCTGCCCCCCCCCCCCCAATTTTCATTCAGCAAGCTTTGGATGGGTCATAGGGGGCTAGGACTACAGTCTGCTTCAGAAAAGTCCTGCTTTGATTTCGACTTCATTGGTCCCTTCACCCATTTCAATTCCTTTCAATTTGGTTTTCGTTTAAATTGGGTATGTTTATTTATATTCATCTCTTTTTAATTATTTAATTAAATTAAATAATTAAAAGCCTTCTTTTATTTGTCCAGAGTGCCAGGTAGTGATTCTGAACCTTATGCATTTGGATAATCAAGTGGAAAATGGTTAATAAAATCACTTACATGTCATAAAAACAGAGGCCTTAGATGTTCCTCTCAGACCTGGAGGAGGCATCCAGGGAGGTAACCTGCCAGGATGGGTGGAGATGCACTCCCAAATTAATGAAGAGAAAAATGGCAGAAATATAATGATATAAAATAAAGCAGTCCTTGCAATTAGCTATCCTCTGAACTGTGTAATTATACTTCATCCTCTTTCCATTTTTTCTGCTAACACCTGATTAATAGTAATGATATACTAAAGGAAGCCTCCAGCAGCTGGTCTTTTCAAGTGAACTCAGGTCTCCTTCAAATTGCTGTCAAGCATGCACTAGGCATACTGTTGCTTTAATACTTTAGAGAGACTGAAATTATAAAGCAAAAATCATTTTTATTTTTTAAAAAAGATAATTAGCTTTATCTGAAAAAACTGTCTTCCACAATTCTATCACCATGTATAATTTGTCAGCTTCAATCCGGCAACTGATGGAACAAAATGGGCCTTCAGAGTATATCATTAAGACCATGTTTTTTTCTCACAAGGATTAAAGCAA